AAAACATATATAAATAAAACTAAAAATCAGAGAATGGTTTTGAAGAGGGAAGGTTATGGTAATAATCAGAATGAAGAGTAAAGGATTAGTTAAGAAGGATTTACTGTAGAGCTAAAGGATGACTGTTTTGAATGTCAAGGAGGATGAAAAATGGAATGAGGGCACAAGTAAAGGAGTGGAAGGAGAGAGGAGATGAAACAAGATTTCTAGTTTAAGTGACAAGGGTACTTCTCCAGATAGTGATAGGGACAGAGACTAGCACAGAGTAGATCGTTAGAGTCCAGTTTTGAAAATGTAAAGCATGCAGGAGAGGATCCCAATTAAGAAAATCAAGAGGTGAGACTGGAATAATAGAGATGTTAATCATGGAATCATAGAATAGTTTGGGTTGGAAAGGACCTTTAAAGGTCACCTAGTCCAACCCCCCCTGTTAAGACAGGCAGTTATGCATTCCAGCGTAGTAGTTAAAGCCATAGGCAGAAAATACTATGGAAACAGAGTGAAGTTGAACTTTTTTTGTCTTGACTTCTAGCCTGTTTACTCCACATCCGCTTTGCTTTTAAAATCTCTTACCCATGCTCTCTGCTCTGTTTTTCTTTCTATTTATTATTTTAAGTATTCTCATTCAACCACACATTTTGAGAAATTCAAGGAAAAGCAGGTATGATTAAGGGCTAAAATAAACCCTGTAAAAGAATCTAATTACTTCAGAAAACATATTGGCTTACTTTGCAGTACTTTTTGTGCTTTATAGATGCCAAGAGAGGATTAATCTATCATGTCTTTGTTTGTGATTTTGCCTTTTATTTCAGTTTATATAATTAAAGAGTTCCCAGGACTGTTTTACGTTTATTTTGTTCATCAAAACATACTTCTCAAATGTTATGAAAATGTAGTCCAAAAATAATGCAGTCCAAACCCATTCAATTTTCTCTTGGAACACAATCAATGATAAAGTCATACCTTGTGTATCATTTTTAACTGACTAAACACTGTGTTGTCCCTTAATAATGCGTAATTCTTTAGGGCGTTCACTTTATATTATCCCACTTCAATATTTGAATATGTTCTGGTGATACATGTAGCAAGATGCATATAATCAGGCATGATACAGTTGTTTCACAATTACTGTTTGAGGATGAAATCCTCTCTACATTGAAGTTACAGAGGTCTCATTGGGTCACTCTGTGTGTCTGCATACATTATGACAGAGAGGAAATATCCAGAGTGTTAGGAATCTGTATTTTGATCGTTAGCTTTTGATGAAAGACTGGGAAAAAAATTAAGTAGCAGAAATCAAGATAGTGTCTCTGTTGTTGCTGGAGTTATGGGAATCGGGAGAAAAGTAGACATACCAATCTCAGATCATTATTCATAAAATATTCTCTCTTCTCTTGCATCCTCTTTTCATGTAAATTTGAGTCCTGGCTGATGATGCCATTGTCCTGAGCACAAAAAAAGACCAGAGAAGGGATTTTAAGAAAGTAGTTTTCATAGGCACTGAGTATATTTCATCAAAAAAGATGGTACCTGGTAATGCTGAAACTCTGGCCTGCTGTGCATGTGCATGTTGTGCATCTGATCACCCCACATTAGTGGGTGAGAATTAGTATTTTTCTTCTCTCAAGATCAAACCCTTTCCCAGTACCATAAACAGAGAACAGAACTTTCAAACTACTTTTTTTTCTGTGAATTCTCATTAGGAAGCTGAAATGTGCACCCAGGAAAGCTGGAAAAGTAACTTGAAATACCAGTGTATAGCAGAAAAATGCAACAGCAGAGCAATTTCAATCACTGAGCTGTTAATTCTGGTTTTAGTAGGTATACTTTCAAAGAGGTGGTCAACTAAGCTGCAGAATCTGCCAGAAATACCCCTTCACATTGAGAATGGGATGTGCATAATAGGGAAGATGTGAAAGAGGATAGGAGAGTTAGCACTCTCCAGCTGTGGGAATGGAGCCGCTGCTAAAGCTTTTGTTCCGCCTGTCTAATGACAAGATATTCTGCTAAACAATCCAGGTTAAATTTTCGGTTGGCTAACTGGAGAAGTCCTACAGAGGACTGAACCGAAATAAAAGAACTTGAAGTTTTAACTAAACACAATTTCTGATATTGAGAATCAGCAATTAGGCATTTGGTGAAAGTCACAAAAAATATTGGTTCTGTTTGGATCAAACACAGAGTTTTTAATGTAAAAATGATACAATGTATATCCTGACATGTTAGGAAATGGCCCTGATCTATACAATTGTGTAAACCAGCTATTTCTTTTTTTCGTTTGGTTTTTTTGGGGGTTTTTTTGTGCACCATCCCCAGCATTTGGAAGAGTGGTGGCATCACCGTTGGGAGCAGCAGCTCCCAGCTCAGTGGCAAGTTGAGGATGACCATTTGGGAGTCACAGCTGTAAGACACAGCACAATCACTTTGCATCAGCATCGTTTGTTTTATACTTGCGATACAGGTGTAACAAAAAGGTAGCAATGTTGAAATAAGTGTGGCTGCTCCGGGAATGTGAATCGCAGCTTCCTTTTCCTGGTTGTGCCCACTCACGTCCAGACTGTTGACTTTGGAAAGGTTAAAATAGCAATGTAAGAAGGTTCAATTTTAGCAAGTGTTAGGAGGAGTTACTTTAGCCAAATGTTAGTCAGACGCTCCCCAGCCTGCAGTCCAAATGGGTTTTGTTCTTGAAACGCTGAACTATATCCATGTCAGATAATCTAAGGCAATGTGTTGCAAAGGGACTCTCGGACCAAAACTGCTCTTCAGAGATACTGTCTGTAGTGCAGCGATGAGGAGCCTAACGAAGGACAATGCCTGCATCTTCTTCTTAGGGATGTTCTATCCTCTTATGCTACATTACAGTACCGATATAGCTATGCTTTTGATTGACTTTATCACAAAACTGACTGCATTTGGTGTTATCCTTAAGCTCTAGCTTCTGAAATCGTAAGACCTTCTGAGAGCTATCAGATTTTCTTTTACAAGCAAGGCTGTAATTCTCATCGATTCCAGAGAGAAATCAGAGAGACAGCACAAGGACCCATATTTTTGCTTAAAACAAGCAAAGGTGATATTTAAAGCCTACAATAATGTCAAGAGATCTGCACTATGATTTTGAATGTTTATCAGCAGTATTAAGCATTGCAAAAAGAACAAAGGCATGGCTCTAAAGCCATGTTCTTTTGGGTGTATGATACAGCAAGAAGCTTTGATGCTATTCTTTAGTAGGTTTTCCTTACTAGGGAATGGTAAGAAAAATGTTGGAAAATATACCAAAGTTGTCAGCAGTGTTTTACCAAGAATGCCAGTCCACCCGGATCCTGAATTTGATCCAGTCTGGCAGTTTCTGTGTTCCCAAGATACGGGGGGAAAGGCACAACGTTTTTTTCTGCATCCTCTTTCTGTAATCAGCAAAAAGTCAGCCAAACATTTGTAGCCTCCTCCAGGAAACACCCCCGATAAGTATAACATTTGGGCACTTAATGAGCAGGATTAATGCACACGCTTAAGTTTAAGGATATTTTTAAGTGCTGTGTTTTGAATCTGAGCTGTAGAGTAGATGATTAAAGACAAACAGCAAATATTTACAAATTTCTGGTCTCATATATATAAACTATGTAATCTGCAGGCTTGGATTCACTTGTGGGAGGTTAATTACCTTCCATCTTCTGTTGGTTTTGCTCATCCAAAGCAATGCCACATCTCGTCTCTTTTTCTTCAACCCAGCACACCAGACACCATGAGCCAGAGCCAAACTGCAGTGTGACCTGAAAGTTGGAGAGGGGCTCCGTTTGGTGAGGTCCCGTGCTTACACACCTGTGTATCGTGTGACCAGAGAATGAAATGTGAGCGAATGCAGAGCGAGGAGTATATACTCAGATCCATTCTCCACGTCACATGAGAATTACCTCCACCTCTGTCTAAACTCATGTGCATATAGATGTAGATATTTTACAGTAAGGAAATAAAGAATGTGGAAGTAGGCTTAGAAACCAAGGGTGAATGGGCAGGGTTGATGATTATTTAGGGCTGTTAGTACAGATTAGGGAAAACTATGAAAATTTATAAGAAACATTTACAAAAAATAGGATCTAAATTATATCAAGTGGATGTGTCTCATTTCTTTGCTTATGCCTTCATCTGCATTGCCAGTTTAGATCACAAATGTTTCAAGATGCCGAGCACGCATTTAGTTTACTGGTGTTCTCAGTTCTGACTATTTCACCGAGTGCTTAACTTCTGGGTTTTTTTTTCTGAAACACGCCAAAATGGGGTGATTACCTGAGAATCTCAGTTGCTATTCTCAAGTAAAGTTCATTTCTAGTTCTCTATCATGGAATAAGGCTTGAAAACTTGAACTTTGAAGTGATAAGCATCAGAAGAAAATAAAAAGAACTTGATATGTATTTTAATAACGTAATTATATTTCATTGTCTTATGAGAGTTTGAGGCAATTCAAAAAGTCATATGTAAGTGTTTGAGATTGGCAGCACTGGTTTCTATAGTTTAACAATTCTAATTCGGTTTTACATAATTTGGGAAAGATACTTTGCAGACAAAGTAGCTGGTAAGAGATAAGAGAAGAAATAAGGAGCCTGAAACTTGCCTAGCAGCCCGTCAGTAGTTGACAGAATTTACTTTATCTCTTCATTGTTATGGCTAAATTTTAAAAGAAGCTGCATCATTTAGGTATCTCTGTTATTACATAAAATTGATTATAATTCCATATGTATTTGTTGATGTGTGGAGATTCGTGTATATGTTGCTTATTACTACATTTTGATTCTATTCCCTTTTTCTCATTTCTCACTTTGAGACTCTAGTCTCATTTTCTTTAGGTTTGGGGGATTTTGGTTGTCAGCTTTTCCTTTTTCAAAATTGTAGCATTTGTTTCTTTCATTTCTTGACGCAAATGCTGCAGTCGCCTAAAGTGTAGCTTCAAGCAGTCCTTTGTGTGACTAAAAGAAATTAGCTAAATAGCACTGTTTAATTAATTTCAGGACCGCCTCTTTTTCGTCATGGAATATGTAAATGGAGGAGACCTAATGTTTCAAATCCAGCGCTCACGCAAATTTGATGAACCTCGATCCCGCTTTTATGCAGCAGAGGTCACATCAGCACTCATGTTTCTTCACCAACATGGCGTCATCTACAGGTACTTTTTTTTTTTAATCAAAAATAAAGTATTCTTGAGGCTTGGGGCTGGTTTTGGCTGAAATCCTCTGTCTCTTAGCAACCAGATTTAGATTAGTTGTTTGTTCCAATTTGCTTACATAGAACTTTTTTTGGCTGTTTATCATTGAGAATGTTAACATTTGAATAGCCTCTGCAGCAGTCGCCAGCTGTGTGTGCCAGTTTTGTATTATAGTCCAAATAAAGCGGTTTTGAAAAAGCTTGGCACAGTGCGACCCAGAGGTGACCTTTCTGTGGATCGGCGCAATCTCTTCACTTTCCTCTCTGTGCCATAGATTTCCTCTCGGTTTCTAACTCCCTGCCACTTCCTGAGTTTGTTTGTCCTAGTTGTCTCCACTCTGATACAATCGGGATGGTCGTTTGCAAAGCTTTACTTATGCCCCTTCCTCTTGACTGTTTGGGTGAAGGCTTAGTCACCAGCAGGAAGCGGCTCTTTGCAGACAACTTTGATTTGCTTGCAAGTGCCCCGCATCTACTTGAACCTCCGCCCCCCGCCCCCAAATCTCTAATCTTCAACACCCATGCACACACACAAGAAAAGTGCATATTGTTGTGCTGTGTCGAAGAATGCATTTAGGGATAGGCTTCTATTATTAAAAGTAAGGAATCGCTTTGAAAATTTTCACCCTGATGTCAGTGTGTTTATTAAGTCCTTTATCTTGTCATTTCACCCTTCCTCTCTCTTTTTATTTGTTTTTAGCAGCCTGTCATTGCTTGCGATAAATTTGGGCTTTCACAAGCAGAGTGCTTTACAGGTTTTGTGATACAGGTCTGTCCTGTCTACTAAAAATTCTGAGTTCTGTGGATCTAACTGAGTTTTGATATTCTCTTGATATTCTCGCCCTCTTTCAGGTTATCAGTTTTGATTTGGGGTAGTCTTCTCAGGGACAGGCAGTCTCAGATTTCTTGAGCAGAAACATCAAGATGAGGATGTGGAATTTGTCACATCCCTGGATTCATATTAAGGCTGCTTTCAAGAGTACTACAAATTGAAAGAAGTGAATTTTAAACGTTTAGTAACCAGGACTGAGTGGTAACTTCCATCAGAGGCCATTGGCTTTCCCACCAACGGGGATTCAAAGGGAAACTTCTCAGAGAAGGAGTCTCCTTTCCAGAGACGTTGCAAACAGCAGGACATTGCATTTCTCAGGAAAATAAATCTCTGTGAAAGTGGTTTTTCAGTCAAAACCCCAGTTTTCTTTAGAAAACTTTTTTGCTAGCTGCAGCTCTTAATCTCCATCTTTTATTAACACTGGTGTGATGTTTGCATACCAGCTTGGACTTTAGGCCCTACCACTTTGTATAGGTTTGTTTTCAAGTGCTGAAGATCCAACACATTTCTTACCTTTGCTGCCCACATAACATTTCCTATTCTTGTCTGCATTTATTTTCAAAGCTATGTATTTGTACATTTAGATACTAGAACGTGGCAACTTCAGAATTTCCTAAGTATCTATCATAAGGGAAGCAGACAAGATTGGTGCTTTAAAAAGTGAAGGATTTTGAGGATTTGTTTCCATAAAAAGACTTGAGCTAATTTCCTCTTCCTGAAAACTGGAGTTTAGACGCTTCATAATTAGCAGTCAGTTTAGTGATTTCTGTGAACCAGCAAGAAAGCATTGGTAAAATTACCTTCCCCCTCCTTTATATGAGTGTGCATTAATTCTCCCTCTTCCCTCCTTGCTCCCATCCTTCGACACACATCCCCTTCTCTCCCGTCTCTTTTTCTCCCTCTTTTCCCTTGTCTTACATGTAGTTTCTGCTGCGTGTTGGCTGCTAGCTGCATTGAATTGCTTCGTGTGGCTGCATTCTTTCTGTGACTTTTTATCACAGTCGAAATGCTTCGATCCCAAGAGAAATGTCATTCTGATGAGACAATGCTTTGTAATTTAAACTTTGCAAGATACTCTCAACTTCTGATTCAGAGGCTATGCTGACATGTCTTTGGCACGCTACAGTAAAACACTAAAATTGTAAATGGTGTGTTATATTGGGTGTATTATAAGAAGAGGCAAAAGAAGAGAAATAACATGAGTTGTAGGATGAAAGCAGAAACTAAAAAAAGCAACAGGAAGAACATTAGGAACAGATTTAGTTGTATTCTGCTTTGACACAAGCTTTTGGATCTGGACATAGTTATGTCCGTAAGAATAACTAATTTTCCCAACTGGGGGATACTAGGAGCTTCAACAATTCATAAAATGTATATCCCAGTTACTCTATAAAACACAACTTGAAGGAAGAAGTTAGAGATTATCTTAAAAGAATTAATCGTAAGAAAATGTCACAGTTCATTCATAGTGTGCCAGGTGCTGGGAGAATGCATTTGTTGATGTCAAGCGTATGTTAGAGTGGTTGTCTTGCACAGAACAGTTTTCAGCCTGATTATTCTGTATCTCACTGCATCATTTCTTACAATGTTAAAAATGCATTGGGATCAAGTCACACCTTTACATCTCCAAAGCTCGTATTAGCTGGCAAACAAGGAAAGGAAAGGGGGGAAAAAAAGAAGAAAAGAAAAAAAGAAAAGAAAACCTATGCTCCTGAATAACTACCGGTCATAACTACCCAACATGCCTTCAGATATTTTAATAAAGAATACTTGTCTTCTGTGTAATTATATCTCTAGAAAAAACATTGCGGTGTGAAATTAATGGTTATTCTCCAAAGTGGGGAATGCTGCTTGTGTGGGCAATACTTCAAGGAAAGTGGGGAATATATAAATAAACTAAGATGTTTGATGGAAATGCAGGTTTCAAAATAGCTGCTATACCTTCTGATCTTTTTTCAGCCATGTATGTGGAAGTATTTGTATTTGGAGCTAAACATAGTTATATTTTTGGAAGTAAATAACTAGCTTTAGCTCATGCTTTGGCTTGTTGGTTAGATTTTTAGAAAGTGCTATGATGATACTAAATGATCACCTTTTATAATAACCAGTTTATCCTCATTTCCCCTGAAGTTCAAAGAGAAAGCTAGCTCCCTGTTTGGCAATAGAAATTATTCTGAAAGTTCACATCTTTGCAACTGGCCCAACAGTTGTTCCCAGACTGGTCCAATTGTCTGTGTGCTCACTGGAATTATGTACCTTCCTTTTGTTTATCAAGTTTATGTTGGAAATAAAGATGAACCTCACAATTTTTATGTAAAAAGATGCTGCTGTTACTAAATGCATCTTGTATGATAGATAAACTTTAGTGTAATTTTCAGTGGCATTTTTAAGCGTATAATGTTACTATTGTTGTGTCAAAGACACTTCAACAACTTAATAAAAATATTTGCATTATCCCTGCCACCTTCCCGCTCATCTGGCATTTAGCTATTCAGGCACATGTCAAGCTGGGGCCTGATAATACAAGTAGAGTCAATCAGATACTAGAGAAGTTTCAGTCGCAGTTTCTGGCAGTGGTTGTTTATGTTGTGCAATTGCACCACTTTGAAAAAATGTATCCAAGCTTCAGGAATTAAGGGCTAGACTATGAATCTCATTTTGCCTGTGAGCTGAACTGGACTTTGAACTAGGTGATGAAAGGTTGTGGACTATGTTCACTGTCACCTGTCCCTGGAGTCTGCTATGTTTAAAGTCAGTCATCGTCAACTTAATATATATCCTCATATAGGGAAGATGCAACTTCTGCCAGTTCCATACTCCTCTCTTGTACTGACTTTCAACGTTCCTGTGCACTTTCCACAGATCGATGTTAAATGTTACATGTTCTTGTTTCACCTGCAGTTGTTGGGCTGAGGACAGGAGTACCTGGGTGAGTGTCTCTGGCTCTCGTAGGAGTTCAAGTGAGGTGACACAAGCGGCCCACTCTGACCTGGGATACATACAAAGAACTGTTGTCTTCCCAGGCAAGGACATCAGCACTAGAACGGGGTACACGTCATTAACATAAATGCCGGTGTCCCCAGTTCATATTTGATTTAAGGAATAACTGTGCGAGCTACAAACCTTGTTTCAGTGAAGACCTGAAGGGCCAGTAGTTGCATGTCACGTGATCTCTGGCGTGCTCCAAGGCCATTCAAGTGATTAAACAGGGTGCTCTCTCTGAAATACAAAAGAAGGAAACTGAAGGTACACAATTTCAGTTCACCTGAGAGGATGAAAAATACCTTAACTGGGAAATTAGTGTCACCTGCTTTGGATTAATTCATTCTTTTGATTTCAAATGTAAGGTCTGTGAGGTGTTGCCTTCAAATCGTACAGCACCTGGTCACAAGGGAGTCCTCATTCATAACTATGGGTGATCATGTTCCTCAGCAATATGAAGTAATAATCCAGCCTGCAACTTGCTGCAGCTTTCTGAGGCTCTGTGCACTCTGTAATTAGTATGTTGGTCGTGATGAAGGATATATTAACGCTGAATTGAGGAGAATGCAAATATAAATATGCTGATGCCAATCCTTGAATACCTCCAGGCTTCTTCCGTACACAAATACCCTAAGAACTTGTTTGAACACCAACTGAATTTTTCCTTGGATGATCAGTTTTCCCGGCATTCCCGTTTATCAGGGTAACACACACCGGTGTTTCAGAAAGAAGAACTACCTAAAATTAAAAGCACCTTCATTAGTGTGTTTTTATGTGAAATAAGACTATTTATAAAGTCTGACTTCACTGGTGGTTGTATGATTCAGTGCAGCCTTGGCAGAGTAACGAGGAGTTATATTTACACTGATGAAAATGTTGCATGGTCAGTGGTTAACATGTTAAAAGTCATCATTCTCCCAAGTTACCTTACTATGTTATTTCTGAGTGGCAGCAGCCAAATAAAATTCCCCTCCTCCCCCTTTTTTTTGGCTTTTTAAAATACAAAACTGGACATGGAGCATTTTGGTTTAAATTTGTTTTTAAGTATGTAAAGATCATCTTATTGCAACTAAACAGTTAAGGGTTAAATTGCTGCTTGAGGTATGGTCCATGAAGGAGGGCAAGAAAGACCTTGTACCCTCAGATAG